ATGAACTTACTTACAAAACAGAAACAGAGTCACAGATGTAAGAAAGAGACTTGTGATTACCAGGGAGCAAAGGGGGTGGAAAGGGATAAATTGGGAGTTTAAGATTTGCAGATACTAACTATTATATATAAAATAAACAGCAAGTTTATACTGTACAGCACAGGGAAATATATTCAATATCCTCTAGTAACCTATAATGAAAAAGAATATGGAAAGGAATATACGTCTGATTGTGTATGACTAAAATATTATGTTATACACCAGAAATTGACACAACATTGTAAACTGACTAAACTTCCATTAAAAAAAAAACTCTTAAAAAATTGTTCAGGTTTGTTGCCTCTTTAAAAATTTCTGTTCTAAACAAACTTTGTTTGAATTAACTAGCTACATGTACATGAGACATCTTTGAATGATGATTAGAGACGACTTAACCACTTAATTTTAAAAGACTGGGAGCGTATCTTCACCAACCCTACCATCAGATGCTGTGGGATGCCTCCCCAGCTCCGACTGTGGAGCAGCCCTGAGTAAGACGCATGGGCCTGGGCTCATAGGGCTTTTGTCTGCTCTAAAGTTGAGCGCTTGTTTTGCCAGCAATTTGGGAGCAATGTGAAGAATATGGAATACAGTGTAGTCCAAGGAATGAGTTTACAGATTTTAGGGCACAGGGCATTTTTTCATTCTTTGTGATTAATTTCCCAACTCAGGAAAGATGATTTTATAATGTCAGAACAAAAAAGAATATGTAAAATCAAACTGTATTCTTCTCATTGAATATTAGCTCAGCCAGGCATGTTATAAAAGGAAAAAAATGTTTTGTTTTAATATCACTTGAACACCCATGGTCTGTTGGTGTGTGCTAATTTTAGCAGGCTTTTCTGTGACATATGGCAGAGCTGGTATTTGGCTTTCTTTGTTCCTTCAGTCCAGATGTTCTAACACTTGCATTTACTTTCATCACTGTAACCAAGACTAGTTTTATCTGCCACCTTCAGAGAGTTTCTATATATAGCTCTGTGGGTTTCTAATCCCAGTGTCACTGATGTGTGCCCCTGCTGAGAGGCTGCCCGCTGCTTCCCAAGAAAACTGAAAATAGCTTGTGAGGGATTTTTTTCTCTTTTCTTTTTCAAATACGAATGACCAAATAAATCATTTCTCTTTCACTAAACCACACGTGTGTATTATGAAGACTGCCTCCCCTTTAGGAGTATGTAAACCTTGATGAAGAAAAAACATCAAATCTCTTTGCTCAATCTCATCTAAAGCCCCTGTCCATCCCACCCCCTGCATCTGTCCCCCGTGCCCTGAGTCTGATGTGTAACTGCCAGGCAGCAGAATGGGAAGAACTGTCTTTAAAAAAGTGAGGTGGTGTGAAGAAGCAATTTTGCACATTTCTGATTTTACTCCAGTTAATACATTACTTACTGTTCTACTTACATTTAATTACACTTAATAGCCCACAGTAAAAATACATTTAGTAGAATCTCTTCTTCATCTCCAACTAGTAAAAAGGCCACAGAGGAAGATTAAATATAAACCAATTCCTTTATTTTTAAAAATATGTATCAGAAGAACTAGAAACCAGCCATTACTTAGGCTCGCCATTTAGTTTTTCTTGTCTCTTCTGCTTTCAAATAATAGACAGTATTACTTTCTAATATTAAGAATGGTCTGATCAGTGACTAGATGAATTAATGGAGAAAATAAGTTCACTGTAATTTAATGGATTCAAATTAATTGTTTTTATCATTTCATGTTTCATCAAAATCATGTTTATTAAGGGTTGAGCATCCAATGATATACAAAAGGATGATTGTCAAATGCCTTCTTGGCGGGGGAAAAAAACGTTCTCAGTGACTCAACAACCGTGTTTGACTTTCATAAGGGAATTGTATAAATTGGGAGTAGGAGGATGCTAACTTAAGGTTTGCTATTGGTAATAGGAGGTAAAGTGCTAGCAAACCCACTCATAACTTCAACTGCATTCAGATTCATGATTAGGAGGGAGTTTATCGAACGAGGCAGTAATAGGAGCTGTAATCTTATTTAGAGGCTTAGAAATGGATCCTTAGCTATATATGATTTTGCTAAATAATAATTGGGTGATTAGAAGTTCCTCAGTGTATCATAAATTTATCAATAACTTTTAACTGTAATTCTAATACATAATTCTAGATGGAGGAGTAACTTAATTATTTTAAAGGACTGATTATTATTGGCTGTGTCACATTTGATTAAAATTATGTTTTCAGAAAACTAAAAATCTGAATTACTCATTTTGAAACCTGCAAGCTTCAGTGCAATCATCAAAATAGCTGAGGACAGGTTATTTTAAATATGACTGCATAATCATTTTCAGACCTTTATTAATTATACTACACATGAATTTCAACCAATCACATTCTGAAAGCCAAAATATTATTGTACATTCTAAACATCTGTCGTCACAGAAAAACTGATAATGGCTCTTTTTTATCTTTAATCTTTCATCTCCTCAGACCTTATCAAAAGTAAAATTAACTTCTCCTAAGTTGCATCTATATTTTTGCAAAGCCTACATTCCCAGTCAACACATCCAACCTATACTATACTTTTACTCATTTATCCATCCTTAAACACTCTTATTTACTATATTCTACAAAGATCTGAAAATCAGGGCAATATTACATACACATACAAATCTTTTGAGAGGAATGGAAATCATATCATGATAGGTATTATTAATTATACAACAGAAACAATCTGTTGAGTATGTTAATTATAGCATGGGTGCAAATGAAGAACTTGTAAGAGAGATTATGTATGTTACTTAGATAATTTTTATCTAAGTCATCACTTGCTGCTTAGTTTGCTGTAGCAGAATGGTGAATATATTTTAAAAGTCCACATCAGCTATATTATTGCTTATACAGAACATGTCTCTAGTTCCCTAAGGGTTCTATGAAGTGCACAGAAGTGCAAGTTTCGTATGGCATCATCACGTGACATGGCTTAGATTATTGCTTGAAAAGTTGTTATAAGATATTGCTAGGAAATCATTTCTAGATGAATGTACAATTCGATGTGAAAAGTACACAGTGAGACTAAGTATCAAGTTGGTGAATTTTTTATAAAGTAAAAACCAAAGCATTCAGAAATAATGCTGTCACTTGCTTCTCTGTCCAAAAGTTCATAGTTTCTGTCTCGGTGGTGAGGACCAGTACCGCCCAGCTCTGGCAGTAACTGAGAAAATTACACTGTACCTAGTATACCTAACAGCCCTGTAGTGAGCAATATTCATCCCTCATGCTTATCAGTGTTGACTTTTGTCTCTAAAGAGTTTGAAGACTTACGCTCAAAATACAGACCACAAATTTGAAACCAAAGCTAAAATTCAAATTTGTGAATAAAATAATGCTACAAGGCTTGGAGTATTTAGCTTTCCAAAATAACTACCAACGAAGCAATATATTTCTGTCTCAGTCAATTTATGTTTATTCCCACTAGCTGGGATTACTTGAACATTATCCAATGATTCCCAAATCTGGCTGTATATCAGCATTTACCTAGAGTGACTTTCAAAATATAGATTCCCAGGCTCCTGCCTGAGACCTCATGAATCCCACCCTCTGAAGGTAAAGCCCAATAATTTGCATCCCTAAACGCTGCCTAGGTAATTCTTGTCCGGGCAGCCAGACACCGCCACGCTGATGAGTTGAACCCTTGAACAGGATCGTTTCTTAATAAGGATGGGATTGGCACTGGGACACTTGACTGAAGCTGCGGTCTGGTCACAACACAATAGAATTAAAGACACAAACTTGACTTCTTTACATCTGAAGCCCTTCTAAAATGTCACCCCTTTTGATCATGTAATATGTACATTCAACACACACAGAGAACATTCACTGCTTAATAAAACTAAAACTATTCTACAACGTATGTAATCATGGTTACGTACTACATGCTGATTACACTGTGATTCCTTCTGTGTGATGTCTGTCAATGACTTTTTTATGAAAGGAAGAAATAAGGAAAGAAGAAATGAAGGAAGGAAGGAAACAGAAAGGTGGCAAGAAAATAATATTTAGGTTTCAATTGTTTGAATCAAGTGTGAGGAAGGAATTTTGCACACTATCTTAAAATGCTTTGACAAGATTTATGCTAATTTATGGATAAAATCAGTGTCTTCCTCATTCACCACCATGAGGCTTCTGAAGTTGAGTCCACAGCTGGGGCCAATTTATCTATTTAACAATAAAATCCCTTCCATCATGTTAACACAATTTATGTGTATGCTACAGCAGCTGGTTGCAAATTACGTGTATTCATATCAAGAGCTACCCATAAGGAATCACCATTTGGACCATAATACGTTAAACTTTAATAACTCAGTCTCTTGTGCATTGTGTTTTTTAGGCTGTATCTAATAAGATACACTTGTGGAAGCCTCTAAAATGAC